AATCCCCACCCCACTATGTTTTTAAAGTCACCCCACCTTAAATTGGCCAAGGTTGAGAAACACAGTTCTATGGTGCTGGGGGTCATTTGGCCCTCCTCCCCTGCTTTGCAGCACGCCGGACCCACGCTCACCTCCTGTTCTCCATGGCATCAACACACTTTCTCGGGGCCGGGCAAAGGTGGCTGGACACCTGGGCGCCCTTCCTTCCCAGTGCAAGAAAAGTGCCACCTCCAGACCTCTTTGTTCCGAGGCCCACTGAGCCCCACTTTTGCTCCGGCGAGCGTGGGTCCGGAGGAAGAGGGAGACCGGGGGAAACAGGCCGCTGGGGGACCTCAGCTGCCTCGCGGTCGGCGTCATGGGCTCCGGGTCGGCTGGCTCCCCTCGCCTCCTGGGCCTGCTTCCAGAAGTGGTGGGAGCTAAAATTAGAGGCCTGCGAGGAGAACACAGATGGTGCCCTGTGCTTTGCTGGTGTGCTATAAATAAGCCACGCCGGGGTGGTTCTTATTATTGGTTTCAAATGGTTTATTATGCAATGCCTCTATAAATACAGAGAAAGGGAGGAATCGCGCGGTCCAGCCCCTGCTCAGGGCAAGCATCCAGACTGAAGCATCTCAGACAGATGGTGGCCCAACATCCGCTCAAAGACATCTAATGAAGGAGACCCCCCCCCCCCCGCTTTCTGACTGCTAGGGAGTTTTTCTTGACATTCAAGTCTCTCATTGTCCCCCGCCCCGTCTTTTCTCACGGGGAGATACTCCCAGTTCTCAATCTCTCCTTGTAAGACTTGCTTTTCAGTTCCCGGATTCTGCCCCCACCCACCACAGCCCTTTTCAACGCCAGTTTTCCCCAAATTCTCAAAACAGCGCTGAAGACCACCCTCGCCTCCCCGCTCCCCATTTTTGTCTCACAACATCCCTGAAAGGTAGAATAAGGCGAGGGAGATGAACCAGAGTCAGCTAGAGAGCCACACAGAGGGTGGGTGGTGGGGAGGGGCGTCCAGATTTTTCCACCGGGCAAAACACGGGACCACATTCCTGCATTGGCTGGTGAGACCGGGGCATCCATGGAGGGGGGGCCCAAATTGGCATGATGGCAGATGGTGACGTTCTGCCCGTCCATCCTGCCAATTTTGATTCCTGCCCCACAGGATTTGAGGTGCCTTCAGACTCAAGGATTCTGTGGAAGTCTCCGGAGGATATCTTCAGGGGAATTGCTGGCTATTGGGAGAAAGTATTTTTACAGGGAGAGAGCCAGGTTGGCATAGTGGTGAAGGCACCAGGCTAGAAACCGGGAGGCTGTGAGTTCGTCTTGCCTTAGGCACAAGGGCAGCTGAGTGACCTTGGTCAGTCCCTCTCTCTCAGCCCTGGGAAGGGGGCGGCCAGGGCAAACCACTTCTGAAATCTTGCCAAGAAAACTGCAGGGACTTATCCAGGTAGCCTCTGAGGATCAGACACAATTGAACGGATAGGAAGAAAAACTCTTATAGCTTCAGGGTGGTCCTACCTGGGCTCTCTTGGAACGGAGTTCCAAGGACTTCAAGGGGGCTTAAGAGGCATTGCATAGCATTGCCCCCTTAGCCAGGCCTGCCCAATTCCAAATCTAGGGTTTGGAGCAGTGCAACCCAAGGAA